GTCCCGATCGCTCCAAGAACGAATTTCGAAAGGCTAACGTCAAAAGTCAAAAGTTTAAATCCATGAAAGCAAACGAACAAAAAAATTGAAGGAAGAAAAGTCCCTCTTTTTACATTGCCAAAAAACGTATCCACAAAAGGCATATTTACAAAATCTATCCCCCGGGGATTGCATACAAAAGGAAAAGGATAGCATGCAAAACGACATGGGGACTACTCTTCATCATCGCTATCTTCTCCCTCATTTGGGATGACTACAAGCACCAATTCTCTCTCCAATTCGCGGGCTTCCTCGAGATCGACTGACAGATCGACGCCCCTGGCTCCGATCTCCTCTAGGGTTTCTCTCCTTGCCTCTGCCTTAACATGTTTAATAGCCCGAACTAGCTTCTGCTCAGCTGCTATCGATGTGTCACGAGCTATTTTATGCGTTGTGGCTGCATCATCCAGATAAGTGGCAGCATTTCTTTCAATCTCGAACTTGGCCGCAGCCAAGGCAGCAATCTCCTTGCGAGCATTCTTGAGAAGAGCATGGGATGACGCCAACTCCTCAGTCGCTACCTCACTTTGCTTCCTTAGCCCGAGAATCTCCGTGTTCAGTCGACTAATCTGAAAACCATTTTGCTCAACCTACCAAAGAGAGGTAAGCCAACCTATGTCGAAATATGGGAGCAAAGGTCGGATACAAGTAGGGCGAAATACCTATGCAGCGAGATCAGCCTTTTCCCAGAACGCTCTCTCCAAAGCAGCTCGGATCTCCCCTAATTCTTCCTCTCCTCGGGCAAAGTGTGCCTCCGAATCCCGCATCATCGAGGTAAGATTCGTACACTCCTTTTCACGGTAATAAAGCTCCTCGCGGAGCCGAAAGAGGGCATGATCATACATAGCCTTGCACTGCGGCATAACGGAAGAGTTAGAAAAACGAAGAATGGTGCCCAAAACTAAAAGAAATATATGAAAGATAGCTATAACCTGTTGCATGAATCTCTTCGCTGCCTTGACAGTGCCAAGAACGTCAAGACCGATGCTATCGCTAACATCCTCAAAAATGTTGGCAAGTGAGCCTCCCCCTTTGAGAGGAATCCCCGCCTTGGCGGCATTCGCTTCTTGAGCGTCCCTCAGTTCCCCTGACGAGACCTGAAAGCATGAGATGAAATCACTCATGTCGCCGATTTCCCCAAAATGTATCCCCTGCTCCTGAAAAGCTCCGGGCCCCGACCTTTCAGGATCGATAGCGATGGTCCCCCCAATGGAGACTGCGCTAAACCCGATCATGCGATCTGAGGTCACGTTAACACCCTTCCCAAGGGTCTTCGGTCCATGAGACCGACCTGAGTCGACCGTTCCAGACTTAGCAGCCTCTGCTCGAGGCACCTGCGAGGCTCCTACACTCGACCTCATCCTCCGTGCTAACTGGCCTTCATCATCATCCCCATCCTCAACGCTGGTATTTTCCCCTGAAGTTGAAGCAGAGGTCCTAGTAACAGTTTGATGCTCGAGCGACCTGGGTTTCTTTGTCATAGGAGGATCAGCAGCCGCCTACCTTCCCTCTTCTTGCTCTTGCCGGGCTCTGAAGCCTTCGTTTCACCACCAAGGGGAGGCCTCATCTCCATATTCTCGCCAAGGCCTGTACAAGCACGATAACCATGATTTGTCAGCACAAGGGACGCAGGGAGAAACGCAAATCTAAAACATAGACAACAAATGAGCTCTACCGTGATTCTTGGCCACCCATCGCTCCTTGGCCAGGTCGGTCCAAGACCGAGCATGATACGGGAATGAGGCGTCCAACCGTTTGATCCACCCCGGCAAATTTGAAACCGTCTCGGGGTACCAAGCGATAGCTGCATAAAACAGCAAAGAGGTCATCATTCTAGGGAAAAGGAAAGGAAATTACAACACATGGTTAAGGGAAAACCGCTTACGCTGTGTGTTCCATCTCTCTGGGAAAGGCATCCTCCGGGCCGGAATGATGTCCGAGGTCCTTACCCAAACGAATCTGCTCATCCATCCTCGATCATTCCCTTCGTCGGTGCTCGAGAAAAATGATTTTTTGGATCGATTATGGAGCCTGATCAAACCTCGATAAAATCGAGGGCTGTACAACCTAATCAAATGGCTGAGGGTAAAAGTCTCGCCCGCAACCCCTTCAGTAAAATAACGGAGCATCAATACTATCCTCCAGACAAAAGGATAGATCTGACCGAGCATCACTTGATATTTTTCACAAAAATCAAGGATAACCGGATCTATTTTCGGGGGGGGATGATTCAGAGGAATCATCAGGTCCCAAGGTGAACGGGTAGGTATACACATGAAGGAAGCCGGCCTTGTAGTCCGTTATGTTTTTATCAGGACCGGGAATCTCCGCCTCCACTGCCTCGCTCCATCGGCAATCTGTCCTCACCACTTTTATGTTGGTCACGACACTAATGTATTGGGACACATGTTCACATCGGCCCGGTGTGGATGAAGTGGCATCGATGGTAAAATCTTTTGACATATCAAGCTTGGAGGGAGTGCGTTGTTCCAAAGTGGGTATCGCTTTGGCTCTCTCCTTAGACGACTGAGATGAAGATGCAGCTTCATTCCACCGAGGAACCGTTCTAAAAGTCCTGGCCATAGAAATGGTAAAATTCTCTCTCAGAAAGCAAGATAGAAGAGTGTAAAAGAAGATGGGTATGGACTTGCAAATTTGAAGATGCTATGAAGATAAGGATTATCAAACAACTGATATATTTATAGGAACCGCTTGGGCGGCGGAAAGGACAATCCAATAGTGGTTCGTGGGTTCCTCGATAATCGCATATAACAGTGACCTTTGCACGACTTTCTGGGGCATGGCATTTAATGCTCTTACAGGTTGACGACATGGCAATGATGCCCTCGGAACGGCAGCTCAAAATCGTTTACTATTACTTCGTTCTAGGAAACGCGGAGACTATCTTTATACGGTGAAATCGGAGGGTCCAATTCCTCGTCATTAAGGCGTTTCGGGAAGTCATCTCGAGGTCTCGAGGCTGCAGGGTTGTGGTCGAATTCTCTCCCTCGACGTCCATTTGCGCCCGACCCAACGACGATCCCGGGAAATGGGAGTTCTCATAGACGAGCAGATAGCACTGACAGAGCCTGGTGTCACGTCTAGTCGTCCCATCTTCATACCTTTACAATTAATACATTTTGTACTATGTTGGGATTCCCCTCCTATATAAAGGGGATGCTTGCCATTTTGTAGCGTCCCCTGTTGTTGCTCCAACTGTTCTACACAAGATAAATAACAACTCTTTCTCTCTCTCTCTCTTTTCTCTCTAACTTACTCTCTCGATATTATTGCTCATATTTATTGCCTTCATACTTGTTCTTCACTTATTGCCCGTCATTGGCCATAAAGAGCCTCCTTTAATTATATCCTAACTGTTAGCCCTTTCCTGATTATCCCCGATAGCTCGAGCCCGAGACCAGGCATCGACCTCGAGGCCCCTCATCGGTTAGTCCGAGGCCAGAATAGCTAACCCCTTGGTTCGATTATAATTTCATTTTAGCTCGCATTTCATCTTTTATCTTCACATATCTAGCATCAACTGCTTAACAACTTGCATAAAAATAGATCACGTATTTTTTGAGTCCCATCAACAAATTTAATTGTTATTACCATTTTCACGGGAAACAATATTTCTTGCAGCGCGTGATCCTAATTTCGATTTAAAATCATTTCTAGTTACAAAGTTACTAGTATTAGTTTAATACATGTCGGTGTAGAAGATAGTGTTTAATATTTGTGTTGAAGTTTGAATTACCGTGGAATTTGGATATGCGTTTCCAAAATCCTAAGTTCCTAACCCACCTTGTTTGTGCAACTTAATAGAAAAGTAAGGAGAAAATAACCAAATCGGCCCCTTATGTTTGGGAGTAAATTTAAAATAATCCCTAAAATATATTTTTGAGCAGTTTAGTCTTTTATATTTTTTGCAAGTGAGCATTTTTAATTTCTATTAAATATTTACAAAACATTCTGGGAAAAGGATTTCACCAAAACAACATGAAACTCCTGCCAAATATTAGAAACTATAACACAAAAAAATGCACCAAATATTTTAATAAGCCAAAACTAGCAGAAACTGCACCTTAAAGTTAAAAGGGGCACTAGACATATCGATTGTTGTAGCTTGAATTTTGTGAATCCTAATTATATTAGATTTTCTAGTAGGTTTAGGAAGCTCATTGGTCATTATCCTTATAAATAGGTATGGGATACCAATTGTCCTTGTACGTTTGAAAAAATATTGTTTTATAGGTTTAAGGATTACTTGGTAAGGGTTGCAATTGGTGTTTATATTATTTTTGTTATTGATAGTGAAAAACTTTTTTTGCTTTTGCCTCAAAGACGTAGACTTAACGAACCTCGTTAATTTCTTGTGTTATAATTTTAAAATTTATTTTATGTATTATATGCTAGTTAACTCATAATCTTCCGCGACAAGGCACTAAGTGCACCAAAAATAACGGAAACTATAAATTACATCTCCAAATGTGAGTTCCGGTTAATTTTTTATTTAATATATAATTCTTGTTAAATCTAACCATTGGTGTTTGTTAATTATTTATGGAATATTAAAATTGCTCATTTTTTATAAACTTAAAGAATTAACAGTACAAAAAAATTATTATATTTTAGACCTAGCTACCTCAAATATATGAGGGATTTATTTTTGTCATTTTCTCGAGAATTAAGCATAACAAAATCTTCGCTGACAACTTACATGTTACTATTAATTTGGTAATTGTTCTCCAATTGAAAGAAAACATTTTTTTAAATCCAAAAGAAAATTTTAGAAAATTAAAAAAAGCTCATCTAGACGTTAGAATCATCATAACAGAGCAAAGCATACCTCAACAGTCAACACGTATTTTGTTTGGTACTTGGAATCTTCATATCTAAGGAAAAAGTCCCTTCCTTCGAGACGTTACTAGCTTTTTCGAGATTCCCATTTCTTTGTAAATATATTTCCTTGGACCTTAATCTCAAAACCCATCATCCTTTTAACCCAGTTCTGTTCTCCCATATCCAATAAAATAAACTTAGCTTCAGTTTTTACGTCTTTCTTCTAATCGGGAAAGAGGAAAGTGGTTGATTGTTAAATATTCAATCAAATATAAGCAAAAACGTATACATAACGAAGCAGAGGAGAGGGGAATATCAAAAAAAATTAAGGGGATGTGCTTTGTATTTGTTTGCGATGAAGATGAAAGAGTTCTACAAAGACAGGCAGCAGCAGGGGCTTGTCCTTACTGTGGAGGAATGATTCAAGCTGTGGATTTGGAGAGCCAGTGGAGACTCTGCTTTGTTCCGCTTTCTTTCAAGAAAAAACGTAAATATTACTGCACCATCTGCACTAGGCGTCTAGTTATCCAATAATTATTCTGATTATATTTCTTGCTATCATTGTTTCAATCTCTCATCTCTGTATATATTATATAAGTTGTAAGGAGAAATCGTCCTGTAACTGTTACAACTTACAAGTAATTGTTCTGATCTTTTTAAGACTTTCTTTCTCTTTTACTTTTTATTTAACTAGTTTTAGAATATGCGCAATCCCCGTATTAATATGTAGGCGAAATATATAGAATACCACCTGACTTGTCCCCAAATCTCTGTTACATACCTGTTGATTACGAGAATAACTTTATACACCCAACCTTTAAAAAATATATCTATGACACACTATTTTGACTACGTGGCAAGCGCGTATTTTACACGCAAATGAGGCACGTGAACTGTAAATATTTTGTATCTAAAGCCTCATTTGGACGCCACTTGTTCAGTTTTTTTACTTTTTCATTTTTTTTCATTTTTAGTCTATCTTGTTCATTTTTATGAATCAAGTTTCAGTCTGTTCCTCCATTGATGCTTATAAAGAACACTTCTAATAACTTCAACAGCTCCTCCTCTAACTCATGAACCTGAATCTCACCTCAAATCCATTATAAAGCGTTTTTTTCTCAAATATCGCCCTTCAACCTTGCTTCAACCCTAGCCTGCTGCAATCCTAGATCCCTTACCCTTCTTCCGTACCTATCTCTGGCCTTTGCTTCTTTTTCGGTGGGGGGTTTTGTTTTTCCAACATAAAATCGTCTTGAGATTTTTTGTTTTCACCCGTTCTCATCCGCGTTGTTTCTACAAATTACGCAAGACTTAAAAATTGATTATTTGAAATTGTTGTTGTTTGTTAAAATTGATGTTTGGGGATTGAATTAGTTGTATATTAAAAGCTCCATTTCAATTGAAACTCATTTAGAGATTAATTAAGTAGTTGGATCGAAATTTGTTTAAGAAGGCCGAAGAAGAGTACTTGAATTTTTGAGTTGAGTTAAACTTGAAGAAATTTAAGGTTGATGTTGAAAACTTTGGTTGTTGATTTGTATTCATGTTCTCTGATCTTAAAACTGAGATGAAGGTTGTAGCAGCCATGGTGGATGGTTTTCATATGAGGAATAAGATGAATTTCTTTTTCTTTTTTCTTTTAACTTCATGACACGTGTCATGATTTAATTGGTGCGTTACATATACCTACTAAAAAGAAGTGGTCAAATACAAAAGTGTTGTGTCATGGATACACTTTTTAAAGATTGAGTGTATAAAATTATTCACGTAGTCTACAGGTGTGTAACAGGGATTTGGGGACAAACTCAAGTGGTAATCTATGTATTTCGCCTAATATGAACTCTAAAATTTCTAAAGAGGGTATAAGTAGATTAACCAGGTTTTAGTTGTAATATAAAATTAAGAAAGTAACAATTTATTAAATTAATGAATATTGATCCTATCACGATCCTAACTTTCATTCCTTAGGATATCGTGATGGCACATAGTCTTTAATATTAGGTAAGTCTAACAATAAGTGATAAATAAAAGCTAAAACATGATATAGACTAACAATTCTCATAAATATTTAGATAACTGAAATACAACTACAATGCTTCAAAAATCCGATGAGACTAATAGCCCGTTTGGCCAAGCTGCAAAAATCAGCTTATTTTGAGAAGTGATTTTTTTCAAAAGTGCTTTTCTCAAAAGTACTTTTGGTGAGAAGCAATTTATGTTTAGCCAATTAGTTTGAAAAGCACTTCTGAGCAGCAATTAGTGTTTGGCCAAGCTTTAAAAAATTGCTTCTAAGTGTATTTTTCTCAAAAGTGTTTCTCTAAAAAGTGCTTTTGTAGAGAAGCTACTTTTTTCTGCTTCTCCAAAACTGCTTCTGCTTCTCCTCAAAAGCACTTTTTTTTTCTTCTAAAAATTTGCCAAACACCTCAATTTTTGGCAAAAAAAAGCACTTTTGGCCAAAAAGAAGCTTGGCCAAATAGGCTATAAGTCATAAGCTTCTACAGAATGTTCCAAACCACTTATTACAACACTATCTAATAAAGGAAACAACAATACTATAAGGATGATAGAAGGTGATTCCGGGGCCTGCAGACGTCAAACAGGTATACATCGAAGTCTCCAACAAACAACTACAATCAAACACTAATGTCCAACACAAGTAGATGTATCTGGATTTACATAAAAGATGTGCAGAATCGTAGTATAAGTACACTATAATGGTACCTACTAAATATCAAGCATAACCTCGGTAAAGTAGTGACGAGGTCAGGTTAAGACACCTACTAGGACATAATTAACATAATGAAAATATAATAACGAGAAGTAATGGAAGACGAAGAAATAACTTATATAAAACAGGTTAATAACATAGACAAATGCCGGAATTATAAGCATAGAGATAACATAAAGGAAGCAATTAAAGAAAACTGTTGTAAACAAATACAGATCCAAAACTGATAAGGCAAGAAAGAATAAAAGTAACAAGTAGTGTTTCACCAATAACTCTTTACAACATGGGATAAGCAACAAGAATCAGAACAGAGGTATCGCCTACCACCTCGTATACAACAAGAATTACAACCGAGGTATTACCTCATATTCACATTTCTCGATTTCAATCACAATCTTTTCTTATATCGCCTTGTGTGCGTTACATTTAAATGGTTTTGAAAATATTTTTTCTGAAATAGCTACACGTACTTTAGCTCACCTTATGACGTTGCATAGCTTCATGTAATTCCCTTACTAGCAACACACACATAAGTCCCACCTTATGTCGCCGCATGCACATCAACCCCTATCCTTATACTTTCGCATGCGCATCAATATCACATTATAACAACAACTCGCACCACAAGTGCTCATATGCCATAACTTGCTAATAATGAACAATATCAATATTTTCACAACAATAGCACATGGCTCAACCACAATGTGTATAAAAATATTAACAATAACAATTAATATAAGTTTCTCAACAAGAAATCTAAACAATTAACACTTCGCTTCATTGTGATAACGGCTTTCACAACTTCAACACCAATAACTCAACAATGAGAGAGATAATGTGGAACCCAAGTATTCAATAAGAATAAATCACAATGGGATAGATAATATGTAACGATAACTTCAAATAAATATAAGTTAACAATGGAAGAGATAACATGTAACGATGAAAGAGACAACAACTTCAACTAAAGTATAAGAGCAAAGTATCAATTAAGGTGTAAAATAGGTGTTAAGAAAGTCAAATTAGTAATGTAAGGATAGACTAACACAAGTAAGAGTAGATTGACTTTGAGAATTTAAAACATGATATGACAATTCAATTAAGGCAGGAAAAGAGTCTAAGTATCCTAAATCGGTCAAATACCATATATAATCATGTACCCACTCGTCACCTTGCGTACATGACTTTCACAAAGCACAAATAACACAATGAATCCCAATTCCTAATGGGTAGCTCTTCCACACAAAGTTAGGCAAGATACTTATCTCAATTAAGCCAACTCAACCCTCGAACATAGTTTTTTCCCTAAAATTCGCCTTCACAAGGATCAAATCTAATAAAAATTGATTTAATATCATCAAACAATGCAGAGGAAAATAATTACAATAGATAAAACTATGATATTTATACTTTTTTCCAAAAAAAGTCAACAAAAGCAAATCTGGGGCCCGCCCAATCAAAATCCAATTCTAAGGGTATATTCCGACAACCCATAACCCCACGAGTTCATATATGTGATTAGTTTCAAAATCCGAGTCCAGATCATCTCTCAAAACTCAAATTCTTATTTTTCAATAATTTGACAAAGTTTCACAAATTTCAACTTTGATTCACATGATTTTTTTATGTTAAATCTAAATATATTGATGAAATATAGTTGAAAATTTATTAGAATCACTTACCCAATGTTTGTAGATGAAAATTCCCTCTCCACATCACCTCCTACCGAGTCGAGGGTTTTAAAATGAGAGAATATGTTGAAAAATCTCGACTCCCAAACCTTTTTTCCACATGTAGATGTAGAATTTACGACACATGTGAACCCTTAAAATTGCGGACCAGGGATTGCATTTGCGAACCTTTACATCCTCAACAATTGTTGCAATTGCGATAAAGGCTTCGAAATTACGAAGGTGGACTTCTTCGCAAAAACGAACAATTGTTCGCAAAAGCGACCCATGCCTCCAGCCTGCTGACTTCGCAATTTTGAAGGGGCCAATCGCAATTGCGACATCAGAGACCCCCGTCACATTCCCAATTACGAGGCTGGTGCTTGCAATTACGATAACAGAGCACCAACAACACCATCAATTCCATTTTCAGTTCAGTTCATTCTAAAACATGTTCAAAACTTATCCGATCTCTCGGAGATCCAAACCTAACATCCACACGTCTCAAAACATCATACGAACTCGCTCGCATGATCAAAATACAAAAATAACATCTAGAACTACGAATCAAACACTAAAACACATGAATTTTCAAAGTAAAGTTCAAGAACTACTAGAATTGCAACTAAGCGTGTGAATCCTATAAATTCAATTCCAAATGATACCAATTTTGCAAACCAGTTCTAAATAGCATAATGGACCTATTTCAAGTACCAAAATCAAATTCCAAGCCCGATAGCTAAAAGTCAACCTACGGTCAAACTTTTCAACTTTAAATTGCTGAATTTTAGCAAAACAGCACAAATCAACTTACGAACTTTTTAATTCAATTCTGAGCATACACCCAAGTCCAAAATCACAATACGAAGCTATCGGAGCCATCAAAACACTGTTCCGTGGTCATTTACACAAAAAGTTTGGTCAATATTCTAACTTAAGTTTCTAAGCCACAAATCAAAGAGTCCAAATCAACCCGAAATCTTCCTAGAATGAAACTAATCAATCCTGTAAGTCATAAAATCATAAATACACATATGTGAAGTATCAAAAGAGGAAATGGGGCGTAGTTACACAAAACAACCGGTCGGATCATCACATTCTCTTTTTTTAAAAACAAACGTCCGTCCTCGAACGTGCATAAGGACGTACCTGAAGTGATGAATAGATGAGGATATTGACTCCGCATGTTGCTCGATCTCCAAGGTCGCCTCATTGACTGGATGGCCCCTCCATTGAACCATAACTAAAGCAATGTTCTTTGATC